CTTTCACCAACTATCCTTCCCATGGCTCTTGGTACTCTGCTATTAGGTTCGCTACTTAGTTCAAACAGGCACACAGAACTCACAGATCTTCCTGAAGGTTATGATGCTTAAAAGGGAAGTAACAGTTTATAGTGCAGGTCAGAAATACATAGGAGTAATTCTTCATTCACGACAGCTGCTTCTCAAATGTACTGTCAAGCAGGCCTCTCTCTGACTCAACTTTCAGCCTTGCTGCACATTCGGACAAGTGTTAATAGCTTGTTTAGTCCTACCAATTGTATGCCCCACCCCAACTCTGACAGTAAGTCTAGGCCAGCCACTGTGAGACAGCTCTGGCGTTGTGGGAGAGCAGATCCAGCTCAGCTTTGTGTGATACCAGTCTGATTTTCTGCTACCTTTGTTGTTTGCCGTCTCTGCTGTTGGTAATGCCACTAACATGGAACCACCCCCAGGACTGCGGCTGGTCTGGGCTCCTGTGTCTTGGTCTTTGTCTTCTGTTTGTGGCCCAAAGGGCATCCTCCCTTCTTTCATGATGGTTCTGAGATTCTAATTGTGTGCCTCTAAACCTGTTCAGCTTCTTCTTGACAAGATCCTACCCAAAGAATATCACTGTCTTTCCCGCATTGCCAGCAAATTGGAACTGACTCACTCATAGTTGTCCAGCCCTTCACTGGGTTTCGGAAGTTGTCACTCACACAGGAGATTGGCCCTCTTTTTTTTGAGCTGCCGGTAGATTCAAACTGCTAGAAGTCTCAGCTTTTGAATTAGAAGTCCCCTCCCTACAGACTGCCACAAGCTAGCTGGTCCCCTTGGTGGATCACAGCACCTCTCATTGGTATGGATGTCCTTAATTTCTCCAACTGTGACATCAGTTATGAGTAAAATGTTGCTAACCGGGGAGGTCGTTAAAGACTTATTTCAGGAATATATAAAAGTATTGATTATTGAGGAATATATAAAAATTCCAAATTCCCACTAGAAAAACAGGTGTTCAGCATAATCAGTATTATTTATACAAATAGTTGGAGCACTGTGAGCCCCACTGGTCAGTTATGGGCAAAATAAGAGCTTTGCCTAAGTCCAGATTCCCTGATGGCTGCCAGGGATCAGCCTAAACAGACCTTCTAAAGTTAGCATTTAAGCTTGCTTTAATCCTTTACTGCACACACCCTTGGTTAGAGGCATTCCATTATAGATGTAAAGTAAGCTATTTCTGACGGTGCTGTTTGGTCTTCTAAATTGATTATTCCAAAGCCAGTTTGAAGATTTGGGTCAAGGCATATTTGTATTTGGGTAAATAATAAAAAGAAAATTGTTTTTAAAAAAACTTTGGTGAACAGAAGAAATAGGACTTGATAAAGGAAACATACTACTGGATAATAGGAGACGAATTGATGCATTTGAGTTGTGGTGTTGGAGAAGAGTGCTGACCATTGCTTGTGCAACCAGAGTTGCTTCTTAGAGGCATGGACGGTAAAGTTTCGTCTCAGATATTTTAGACATGTTATGAGAGGCTGTTCCTTTGAAAGGGACTGTATGAGGAACAAGGGCTGCATGGAGATGGCCACACCTGACCTTCACTGATTTGATAAGGGAGAACTGTCCCTGTCAACAGCATCCATAATACAAAACCAATTCCCATGAAATCAGTCAGGCATCTCCCACCCATATCTGCTCTTCTTTCTACTAACACCAACACCAACCTTACTGCTTTTGCAGTGAATCCAAAATCACTTGCAGTAGCTTGAAGAGCACATGGAACCATATTCACAATTATGGAGTTTATTAGGGAAGTTAACAGGTTATAATTCCAAGTTGATAATACGATACAATTTCTCAGTTCAGAACAGCTTCCAAATTGTACTCACAGGCCCTTCAGTCTTCAACCTCCTGGCTTGAGGCCTGTGTTAGTAAGCTGGCTTAGTCTTGCCAGTGATGGCATCTCTCCACAAGTTCTCCAGCAAGCTTGGGCAAAGGGTTCTGGTTCTACAGGGTAACAGGCCCAAGTCAGCTCTTTCTCACATCCTGTCTCTGATTTTTTTTGTTGCTGCTAATGCTCGCCTGTAAGTCTGGCTGAGGCCAGAATCTCTGGCCCCTAAGCATTCCTGCTTCTTTGCTGGTGGTGAGATTTTCAAAATTTGCTGCCGAATCTGCTCAACTTAATGGCAAGACTAACTAATCCCCTTGTAGATAGGCTAGCATGCCCTATTTACATATTCCCACCCATCCACATAACAAAAGCGATATCAATGGCTAGAAAAGGCATTTTGAATAATAAGCCTGTAACACCATAGCAACATGCTTAGAAAGGTGCCTGGATCAGTAAAGGAGAGAAAGACCCTCAATGAGATGGACTTATAGCAGTCTGCAGTAATGGGCTCAAATACCTCAGGAAAGAGAAGGTGCAGGATAAAATTGGATTCAGCTCTCTTGTTCATAGGGTCGTTATGAGTTGTATTTGGCCTGATCCTGCTACTTCACTATGAAACTTCCTTCCCCAAATATAATGTTTTTCTGTATTTTTCAGATGGAACCTCTTAGACAAATAAAATAATCATATACACTGTAGTTATAAAATGAAATTTTTACTTAAGCAGTAGGTGAACTTTGAAATTTATCAGTCTTATTTATTAAATGAATAAAGTTAAGGTTGCTTTGATGGCCTAGTGGCAAGAAGCTGCCCTGCAGTTCCAGACTTATGCGATTCAAATACACCAGACTCTCTGCTAAAGAATGAGAAACAGTCTCCTCCTATACCAGTCAGATTTGATTTGACGGTACACACACACAAAGTAATAATGTTGTTGTTATGTGCCGTTGAGTCGTTTGCGACTCATAGCGACCCTATGTACAACAGCCCTAAACCGCGTTCTATCCTGTGCCAATCTCATTGCCTCTGACACACCCATCCCGATTACCCCAGTCACTGAATCAATCCACCTCATAGAGGGTCTTCCCCTCCTGCGCTATCCCTCTACTCCACCCAGCATGATGTCCCTCTCTAAAGACCTGTCTCTCGTTACAACATGTCCAAAGTATGTCAGACCAAGCGCCAGAATCCTTGCCTCCAAGGAGCAGCCTGGTTTAACCCTCTCTAGGATGAATCTGTTTGTTTTCTTGGCAGTCCCTGGTACATTCAATACTCTTCTCCAGCACCACAGCTCAAAGGCGTCAATTCTCCTTCTATCCTCCCTAGTCATTGTCCAACTCTCTGATGCATAACAAGTGATTGCAAAAACCATGGCCTGTATCAGGCACACCTTAGTCTCCAGAGAGACACTGTTGCTCTAGAGTATTTTGGAGAGGTCCCTAACCGCAGACTTCCCCATCGCAATACGTTTTTTGATTTCCTGGCTACTGCTGGTGCCAAGAGTGTTGACCGTGGAGCCGAGCAAACTGAAGCTATGAACAATCTCAATCTCTTCGCCATCCATCCTGATGCTACCGTTTGGTAGCATAAGTAATAATAATAAGCAAAGTAATAATAATAACACAATTTCAAGAATAAGGTTATAATTCTGATAAGACTTGATTTCGCTCTAACTTTCTAAAAATTCAGTATATATTTCTGTTGTGGTGGTGATAGTGTACCATCAAGTCAGAACCAACCCCATAGCTGACCCACCAGTTTTCAGAGGTAATTATTTGGGAAGAAATTGCCCATCTTTCTCCCTCGGAGCAGCAGGTGTTGAGCACAGTTCCTTACCAAGAGGCCACCAGTGCACCTTGTTTATCTTATTTTTTGTATTTGGGTTGTTGTATGCCATAGAGTCAGAACCAACTCACAGCTGACCCTCCAGTAGGTTTTCAAAGGCAGTAAATTACACAGGAGGCGATAACCCATCCTCCCACACAGAGCAGGGGGTGGATTAAAACTGCCTGCCTGTGGGATTTCAGCACAGTTTCTTTTAAACTATTAAATAACTGAAGAACTGCTAAAATCTTCTTCAGAGGCTTGATACTCATTTATTACTTGTTTTCAGCAGTTTGGTGGTTTTATTTTTTTACCATGGTCTGTGATGGAAATATCCCTTATGTTTCAATTAGCTTTGTCATTTGTTATTGGTACAGTCCAACTATGAAAGGCTTTTAGTATTTCATTTCTTAAATATTTATGTTGGATGTATTTCTTTGGTGGCATAGTTACCAAAAGGGAATGGAGTTGCTAAGTCTAAGTCACATGGCAGTGCCTCTTTTGCAGTTCAGATTTTGCAACTTGATAGGAGAAAAATGGACAGTCTCTTCCCATGTGATTTATAGCCTTCCAAAAACCTGTTGGACGGTCAGCTTTAATCAGTTCCAACCCAAAAGTGATGAATTTGAGAGGGTTTTTTAATTATATTTCTTTGATGATACATTCTGAAAACATTGAAGCATTTATGTCCCCATTTCTGACTAAGTGGTTTGAATTTGACAGCCTGTAAGTGAAAAAGGCTTTTGTTCCAACTCTTACAGAAATGGAATTTTTTTTTTTACAGGTAAAAAAAAATAATAATCTTGAGGTTAAATAAGTTACAGTGCTAAGATTTAAATGCAGTCTTACATTCTTTTACCAAGACTGTTTTCATTATATCTTGTTACACTTGAGATTTTTCTAGTTTTATTCCACAGTATAAAAGTGGATAAAGCTTTATGATTCATGGTATCAAATAGGTGAACAGTTGTTTGCTAAAAGAATAAGTAACAACAAATTGAGCAACAATTATGAAAATAGTTGGAGAGAAAGATGATAAAGATACCACATCGTTATTGTTTCTTGCCAGTCAAGTTAAACACGACTCATAGTGACCCTATGAACAAAAGGCCTAGAGCCTTTCTAAAAGTAATGACATTTATCAAAGTTCATAGAGTTTCCAGAGGCATGTTGTTTAGGAAGTGGATGCCATTCCTCTTTCCAAATAGAGTCTACTAAAAGTCCCATATGGGATATAGTACTTATATTGAAATGCCACTTGGGATTTTCTTTCTAGTTTTTTTTGACATCCACTGTTTTCTTTTAGCACCATGACGATGGAGGAGCTGCTGACATCTTTGCAGAAGAAATGTGGAACTGAATGTGAAGAAGCCCATCGGCAGCTCGTGTGTGCCCTCAATGGTTTAGCAGGCATCCACATCATTAAAGGTAGAAGGTGATTGCTTTGTTAGTTCTGATTCTCCTGGACACTTTCTCAGCAAGGTTAACTATAGTAGAAATCAGGAATATCCCTAAGAACAGATATTCTTAGACACTATCAGAGAAAGTTTGTATTGGTTCAGCTTAACATAGTAATTTCTGAGAACTTTTTTAGAAACCTTAAAATGTTATGCCACTTTTACAAGTGTTTTCTAAGGTTAAGACCATGAGTGCCTTTATAGTTCTTTCTAATCTGAAGTACTGAACTACTGAAAGCAGGCTAAATGTCCAGCTACAGAGCACTGTTTACATGTTGACACATTGGAAACTATAAAAAATGTGAATTGGGTATATAGTGACAGAAAGCCAATCAGTGGTTAGGTGCACGGGAACTATGTGGTACAAGGAAAGGATGGAGTGAGAATTACAGAGGAGTATGAGGAATTTTTAAAGGTGTTAGATATGTTCATGATCTTACTATTGCTACTATTCATTGTCATTGAGTTGAGACTGACACATAGCTGACTCTCCATTTGGTTTAGGAGGCTATAAACTGTGGGAGGAGATTGCCCTCCTTTTGCCCAAAGAACCAGCTCCGTCTAGACGAGGTGACCAGAGCAGAGCTCTCTGTTCTTGACCTTGATTGTGGTGTCATACATACTGTATGACACCCATGTATGGGTTATGACACCCATGTATGGGTGTCATACATACTGCAAAATGGATCTAAGTGTATGCTCAGATATGTGCAGTTTATTGTGGTTATTGATATCTTATTAGAATTGGAGTTGTTTTAAATTGTAAGATTATATGGAACAATCTCATGTGAGTGTTAAGGAAGAACAGTATATATGAGAGAGCTAGAGATCCACCTGGAATTACATAGAACTTTCTTCATGTTATCAGTGGTAGAATTATGAATGCTGTATGTTTTCTCTAATACTTTTACGTATTTTCTGATTTTTAAGTCGTGGTTAGTGTGGCTTTTTAATAAATGAATGAAATTATTTCCACAGCTTTAAAAAAAGCTAGAAATAAACATTCTCTCTTCCAGCAAAAGCTAACCAGAAGCAGTTTTTATTAATAGTAAAAAGAAAGAAAGTTTGAGGGTATGTTATCTACCTAGAAAACATTGTGAACTAAAAATTGTTTTCAATGAAGTAGGTCATTGAATTTGATAATGTTATGAAAAAATTTTAAAAAGAAAAGACACACTGTTCTTTTAACCTCATTTATTCACTAGATCTATTTCCATGGCCTCCACTTACTTTTATACTAAGAATTAAAAGAATCTAGTCTCTGCAGGAATGTATTCTAGACTTTCTTCTTGATGTTGCTGTTATTATATGCTGTCGGGTAAAGACCCTATGTACAACAGCCCTAAACCCTCCTCTATCCTGTGCCAATCTCATTGCCTCTGACACACCCATCCCGATTACCCCGGTCACTGAATCAGTCCACCTCATAGACGGCCTTCCCCTCCTGTGCTGTCCCTCCACCTTACCAAGCATGATGGCCCTCTCCAAGGACCTGTCCCTCCTTACAACATGTACTAATTCCTTTTCTGGCTATCTGAAATTGAGTGCCTTTTAAAAATAAATTTTAATCATTAAATGTTCTTTTTATTATTCAAGATTTGATCTTTTATTACGAGAAGTATTTCTACCTCTCATTCTTTTCATCCTCATTACTGCCTAATTTTTGAGCTGTTATCCCCATTTTCCATAAAGGTAAATGAATTATAGACTCATTTTCTTTCTCAAGCTAAGACTGATAAGAAAGTTTGCCCATAATCTTCAAGTAGTTTGTACGTTTTTTAATTATGTCTTACTGGCTCCTTTATCATTTGGACAAGTCTCGCAGTATACATTTATTTGTTGTTAGATACCGTAGAGATTAGAATTCACACTAAGAGTTTCTGAAATGGGGAGTAGTACATTATTATTTGTAGATTGTCGCAATAATGAAATTTCAGCTTTTCCATCTTCCCCCCCCCCTGTTTATTTTATAATTGCTTTTCTCCTTCTGTGTTGTCATTCCTCAGGAGTTGGGATGGTGAAGACTTTTCCTCCCTTGGCCCTTTTTCTTGTCTTCTTTTCAGATTTATAGTCACCTTTTCTCTGCTGTGAAATTATGTGTAATAGAGGGGAGTTGGGCAGTGTCACTGCCAAAGACTATAGCCCTGAGCAGTGTGTCACTGAGTAAGAGAGGGTACATCAGTGCTCTCTGCGTTCTGTCTTAGCTGCCAACTAAACCAGAATGATAAGACCTCTCCCTGACAGGGAGCTCATTAGTAAAGGCCGTTTCTCCTCTAACATAATTTCCATATATTCCAGTCTAGACATCAGACATCTAGTGAAAATTTTATTTCTAAAATGCATCTCAAACTCCAGGAAGATTTGCTTAGTTATGTGCTAACACACATTTGACATACAATGCTTCCTTTAAGGTTCTCATTGAAATGATACTAAATACTTGATTTTACTCCAGTTTTGAGTACTGTGATTTCTGCAGATGTGTGTGAAGAGGATAAACTTTGCAGTATCAACTCTTATTAGTTTATTTACTTTTAAAAACTAGCGTCAACAGGTGGCTAAGAAAGAGTATGTTCCCATTTGGTTTGAACTCCAGTAATTTAATAGTATGCCTACTTTGTAGGCTTCTCCAATTTGAGTAGTTTCTAGGTGTTGTCAAGTAAAATATGACCTATAGCAACTGGAGAACAAGAGATCTGAAGCTTGTTCTATCCTGTGCCTTCCTCACAATCTCTCACACACTTGAGACCATTGCAGCAGTCACTGTATCAATAATCCATCTCACTGAGGATTTTCCTCTTTCTCTGACTCTCCACTTTTCCAAGCATAATATTTCTTTCTAAGGAAGAGTCTCTTAGCCACAGGCCAAGATATTTTGTCATCTTTGCCTCTGAGGAACACTCTGATTCTGCTTCTTCCAAGACATATTTATTCATCCTTTTGGCAGTACTTAGGATATTCAGTACTCCTCTCCAACACCAAAGCTCAAAAGCATCAATTCTTCTTCTGTCATCCTTATTCATTGTCCAGCTCCCAGATACATAGCAAGTGATTAAAAAGGCTTGAATCAGGCTCACCTTAAGCTTCAAACTGACATCATTGCTCCTAAGTAATTTAGAGAGGTCCAGAGATCCTTGACAGTGAACTTGCCCAGTACATCTTCTGATCTCCTCACTGCTGGTACCAGTGGTATTGATTGCAGGTTCTAGTAAGATTGTTGCAGACCGAGGGTGCCAAAGAATGGAATGATTTTATAATTATTAGTAATAAGACACAGCCAGGAATGAGATAGAGCAGAGAGCATACAACAGGGGGCCAGCAGTTCTCAAATGAAGACCCCAAGCCAGGCTTTTCTGTATCTTTATTGAAAATTATCAGGAAGTAAATCACAAAGAGAATTCAATGCAAATGAACCCAAGCTCTTCTTTTGAAAACCTTCCCTTTGACTCAGGAGAGAGGGGTTCACAAATGCAAGAATTTGGTTTACCCTTAAGGATTACCTTGGTGCCTCAGGGTGAACTCTAGCTCAGGAAGTAACACTCCCTCTGTAGGGGGCCCCTTGCTGTCTCCTGTCTGCAGGGAACAAACAGCTCATTTTCTGGGATCTGCCACAAGAGAAATCCTAACTTATAAATCTGTAATTCCTTCGATTCCTGAACAAGGGTTTTCATATACTGTTTGGAATAAAGTTTGGCTTCCCATATAAGATGACGTAGTTGACAATTTCAGGCTTTTCTCCTTCTGTCATCATGTTGCCTATCTGTCCAGTGGTGAGGATTTTTGTTGTCTTCATGTTCAGATGCAGTCCGTATTGGAGGATGTAGTCTTTGATCCTCTGCAGTAAGCATTTTAAGTCCTCTTCAATTGCAGCAAGCAAGATTGTGTCCTCTGCATAATGCAGGTTGTTGCTTAGCCTCCCTCAATCCTAATGCCACATTGTTCTTCATAGAGTCTGTGTTCTCAAATGATTTGCTCAGTCCACTCTGGGAGCTTGTCATACATTTTAAAAGATTCTAATTTAGTTACTACCTCCATTAGAAAGGATAGTAGATAAAAAAAGTCCAGAATAAGACTTCACTCTGCATAGTGAAGTGATCAGGGGTGGCGGTGGGGCTGTATAACAATGAAAGACATTTTTTCCCCAAGAAAAAAGCGATCTTGTGGGGTATGGAGGAAAATGTGCAACCATGAAGGGTTGGAAACCCAAGTTCTTGATAAATTTTCATTAAAGTAGCAATTAAAAAATAAAGATAGTAGTTAAAAATACATCGTATTGGTGGATTCAAACTGCCAACCTTTCAGTTCGCAGCCTGTTGCTTCAACTACTTTGCCACAGGGCTCCTCTCACTAAAATATAGTTAAAAGTAATTATACATGATCATATTACTGCTAATAAGCTCTTTATATCTTTTGAAAAAGAAAACTTTACAAAAGATCCTGTGTGTTACTCATGTAATCTGATCTGGTTTTGTTACTGTGAAAATAACCTCTTCAAATGGAAATGAATAGAAATTGGCTGACTATAATATACTATGAAAATGTGGGTTACAGGAAAATTATATCAGGTAATTGCTAGAATTACATATAAAAGCAACAGTATGAAAACAAGTACATGAGATCCACAAACATGTTTTCTCTACACACTGATACTGAAACACCCTTACACCTCTGTTGTGTGTTTTAAATGCTTTTGTCACTGTTAAACAAGTTAGTGATTAATTATGTTTTTAAGTCACCGGTCATAAAAGCAGTATAACAGACACAGGCAATAGCCTCTAACCTTCACTACCTCTGCAAGGGAGAAAAGTGTTCATCAACAGCATCCACAACACAAAACCAATTTCTCTGAGCTCGGATATGTCCCTACCCTTTCACACTTTCTGCTTCGATTCTGCCACCAACTGACCTGCCCAGGGCCCTTCCTGCTCTGCCACTGGTTCCTTTAATTTGTTACAGTGGTCTCACAGAAGTTGC